CTATAGGTCACGAGTGCTCTTTGGGTCACTAGTCACCTCTAGTTCTCTGGTGTTGTCTAGGTCACTAGTATTCTGTACATTATATCCTTAGGCGGAAGGCAGGCACTCACCCAGGTATTTCGGTAGGCTGGGAGGCTGGTAGGCTGGGGGGCTGGTAGGCAGGGAGGCTGGTAGGCTAGGGGGGCTGGTAGGCAGGGGGGCTGGTAGGCAGGGAGGCTGGTAGGCTGGGGGGCTGGTAGGCAGGGAGGCTGGTAGGCTGGGGGGCTGGTAGGCTGGGGGGCTGGTAGGCAGCTGGAGGCTGGTAGGCTGGGGGCTGGTAGGCAGGGAGGCTGGTAGGCTGGGGGGCTGGTAGGCTGGGGGGCTGGTAGGCAGGGAGGCTGGTAGGCTGGGGGGCTGGTAGGCTGGGGGGCTGGTAGGCAGGGAGGCTGGGGGGGTAGGCTGGGGGCTGGAAGGCTGGGAGGCTGGTAGGCTGGGGGGGCTGGGAGGCTGGTAGGCTGGGGGGCTGGTAGGCTGGGGGCTGGTAGGCAGGCTGGGAGGCTGGTAGGCTGGGGGGCTGGTAGGCTGGGGGGCTGGTAGGCAGGGAGGCTGGTAGGCTGGGGGGCTGGTAGGCTGGGGGGCTGGTAGGCTGGGAGGCTGGTAGGCTGGGGGGCTGGTAGGCTGGGGGGCTGGTAGGCTGGTAGGCTGGGGGGCTGGTAGGCTGGGGGGCTGGTAGGCAGGGAGGCTGGTAGGCTGGGGGGCTGGTAGGCTGGGAGGCTGGTAGGCAGGGAGGCTGGTAGGCTGGGAGGCTGGTAGGCTGGGAGGCTGGTAGGCAGGGAGGCTGGTAGGCAGGGAGGCTGGTAGGCTGGGGGGCTGGTAGGCGGGAGGCTGGTAGGCTGGTAGGCTGGGGGGCTGGAGCAGGGAGGCTGGTATGGGGAGGCTGGTAGACAGGGAGGCTGGTAGACAGGGAGGCTGGTAGACAGGGAGGCTGGTAGACAGGGAGGCTGGTAGGCAGGGAGGTTGGTAGCAGTCAGGCAGGGACAGGCTGATAGATACGCCTCTCCGCCGTCCATCGGGAATCAATACAGTATTGGTGTTTCACTTCAATATGTCTGCTGCTGACGTCTATAAGATGTCCATCTGCCACAGCACTGAAAGACGTTCTTCATAAAGTCTTTAAATGGCCACCACAGCTTGACGTAGATTTCATCTTTCTAAATCTTTCCTTCATCAAAACTTTGTAAGTGCAAGAAACCTTTTATATTTTATTTATTACGTATAATGTTTATTTGTAAATATTTTGCCCTGTAATTCAGCGATTTTCAAAAATCGTACACATTAATCTATTTATGTATTAATCTGATACGATAGGTTACGGGAACTTTCAAATCCAGGGATCCCATTACAATGGTTGTACTATTCAAATCACTTTTGCTGTCCCGGCTTGAGTACTGCTCAGTACTCACTTACCCCTTCAGAGCAGGAGAGATTGGTGAAATAGAGGGAATACAGAGAACTTATACGGCACACATAGACACGATAGAGCGACTAAATTATTGAAACCGTTTCAAAGCTCTTCAAATGAAGTCTTAAGGAGACGAGAGAGGTATCAAATAATACGTACATGAAAAATACTGGAGGACTGGGTTCAAAATTTACACAGTAAAATAACATACTGGAATGAACAATACGGAAATGCAGAATAGAACCAGTGAAGAGTAGAGGTGCCATGAACACAGAGAACACTGTATGAACATCAGAGGTCCGCGGTAGTTCTGTGTTCTCCGCGGTTGTTCAACATGATTTATTGGCGTGTTTAATATCACATTACAGTGACATCAAGGTAAGGACTACCACAACTACTTAGGCGAAGGTGGAAGCTTCTCATCTCCCTCTGGGATGCTTTGGAGACGCTCGAGGAAATTGCCAGCCTCGCTCTGGGAACATCAAGGGAGTGGCGTGGAAGTTGGCGAGTGGTGAAGGTTAGAAGCTGTTGGTGTGGGTTCCCCCCATTCCCAGCTGGGTCTGGCCACTCTCCCCCAGCTGGGTCTAGCCACACTCCCCAGCTGAGTCTGGCCACTCTCCCCCAGCTGAGTCTGGCCACTCTCCCCCAGCTGAGTCTGGCCACTCTCCCCCAGCTGAGTCTGGCCACTCTCCCCCAGCTGAGTCTAGCCACACTCTCCAGCTGGGTCTAGCCACTCTTCCCAGCTGGGCCTGGCCACTCTCCCCAGCTGGGCCTGGCCACTCTCCCCAGCTGGGCCTGGCCACTCTTCCCAGCTGGGTCTAGCCACTCTTCCCAGCTGGGTCTAGCCACTCTCCCCAGCTGGGTCTAGCCACTCTCCCCAGCTGGGCCTAGCCACTCTCCCCAGCTGGGCCTAGCCACTCTCCCCAGCTGGGCCTCGCCACTCTCCCCAGCTGGGCCTAGCCACTCTCCCCAGCTGGGCCTAGCCACTCTCCCCAGCTGGGCCTAGCCACTCTTCCCAGCTGGGCCTCGCCACTCTCCCCAGCTGGGCCTCGCCACTCTCCCCAGCTGGGCCTGGCCACTCTCCCCAGCTGGGTCTAGCCACTCTCCCCAGCTGGGCCTAGCCACTCTTCCCAGCTGGGCCTGGCCACTCTTCCCAGCTGGGCCTGGCCACTCTTCCCAGCTGGGCCTGGCCACTCTTCCCAGCTGGGCCTGGCCACTCTCCCCAGATGGGCCTGGCCACTCTTCCCAGATGGGCCTGGCCACTCTTCCCAGCTGGGCCTAGTCATGAGTCACTATTACTCTCCTCAGGCTGGTCGGGTCAGTCTCTTGGAAATTTGGGTTCGAATCCCACAGCTGCCGCCAATGTACCAGGATGGATGAAGACAAGTGAATGATTTAATGAAATTATATTCAGTGACATTCTTGAAAAGTGTTGCGTACTTCAAGAAAAGATTGTGTGCCAAAGTTTAAATGACCACCAATAAATTATAATAAACTGCATAATTACTTCAAATCATAACTAGATAATTATTCACATCCTGGTTAATTACTACGTAATTGCCACTGTCTTATTGATTGGGAAGACAATCAAATTAAATAAATCAAATCACTTCTGGCGCTCAAGTAAATAATCCAATTTAAACACTAGACTTAATCCCACATCAGTAAAAAAAAAAATAAATGATAAACATTAAATACAATTATAATAGAATACAGAATAATACTGTAACCTTTCTTAGCTGTAAAATAATCCCTGGGAATTGGAAAGACTGGGGAATTACTTAAGCGAATACACAATCCTAAAAATATTAAATAAACAGTCGTCTAGTTCTCTTTGTTTATTGAAATAAACATACATATAATTACACATAATACATATAAGACGTGTATTAGGCTTCAATTGCTTAATCTTTTCCCACAATTAAAGCTAGTCTTAAATACAGAACTCTAACCAATTCTCTACACCTCACTCTAATAAATATATAATAGACCTGTAATCTCAGCTGCTGTATCTCGTCTAACAGTCTACCGTCCTACCTCTTGGACTGGACGGTAGAGAAACGGTCTTGCTTCATGTAGGTCGGCGTTCAATCCCCGACCATCCAAGTGCTTAATAGGCACCATTCCTTTTTACCTCGTCCCATCGCAAGTCTTCATCCAGTCACTGTTGCTCTGCCCCAGCTGGGTCCAGTCACTGTCGCTCTGCCCCCAGCTGGGTCCAGTCACTGTCGCTCTGCCCCCAACTGGGTCCAGTCACTGTCGCTCTGCCCCAAACTGGGTCCAGTCACTGTCGCTCTGCCCCAGCTGGGTCCAGTCACTGTCGCTCTGTCCCCAACTGGGTCCAGTCACTGTCGCTCTGCCTCCAACTGGGTCCAGTCACTGTCGCTCTGCCCCCAACTGGGTCCAGTCACTGTCGCTCTGCCCCCAACTGGGTCCAGTCACTGTCGCTCTGCCCCCAACTGGGTCCAGTCACTGTCGCTCTGCCCCCAACTGGGTCCAGTCACTGTCGCTCTGCCCCCAACTGGGTCCAGTCACTGTCGCTCTGCCCCAGCTGGGTCCAGTCACTGTCGCTCTGCCCCCAACTGGGTCCAGTCACTGTCGCTCTGCCCCAGCTGGGTCCAGTCACTGTCGCTTTGCCCCCAACTGGGTCCAGTCACTGTCGCTCTGCCCCCAACTGGGTCCAGTCACTGTCGCTCTGCCCCAGCTGGGTCCAGTCACTGTCGCTTTGCCCCCAACTGGGTCCAGTCACTGTCGCTCTGCCCCAGCTGGGTCCAGTCACTGTCGCTCTGCCCCCAACTGGGTCCAGTCACTGTCGCTCTGCCCCTGCTGGGTCCAGTCACTGTCGCTCTGCCCCCAACTGGGTCCAGTCACTGTCGCTCTGCCCCCAACTGGGTCCAGTCACTGTCGCTCTGCCCCCAACTGGGTCCAGTCACTGTCGCTCTGCCCCAGCTGGGTCCAGTCACTGTCGCTTTGCCCCCAACTGGGTCCAGTCACTGTCGCTCTGCCCCCAGCTGGGTTCAGTGCTTCAATATGCAGAGGGTGACAACCAAGGGTGAAAAGGTTAAGTAAGAGGAAGCTGGATGGGTAGACTGTATCTTCATGGTGTCAGGAAGCCTTTTGACGCGGTGCCCCATAAAAGGCTGGTGCATAAGTTAAAGAAATGGGCAGAAGTAACAGGTCAGGTGCCCCAGTGAATAAAGGGGCACCTAAGCCAGAGAAAGCATAGGTGTGCGCGCGCATACGCATATTGTGCTTGCGGGGGTTGAACTTCAGCTCTTTGGTCCCGCCTCTCAACTGCCAATCAACTGGTGAACAGGTTCCTGAGCCTACTGGGCTCTGTCATATCTAAATTTGAAACTGTGTATTGAGTCAGCCTCCACCACATCACTGCCTAATGCATTCCATTTGTTAACTATAACATTGTAAGTTCTTTTCTAATGCCTCTTTGGTTCACAGTTTCCACCTGTCCCCTCTTGTTCATATACCACCCGTGTTAAATAATGTGTTTTTTTTCTACTCTATAATTTCCTCTGAGAATCGTGTATCTGGCGATCATGTCTCTCCTAATTCTTCTATCTTCCAGCGACATGAAGTCTAGTTCCCGTAGTCTCTCCTCCTTCCTGGTTGATAGAGTTCTGGGAGTTGTTCTACTCCCCAAGTTCTTCTACTCCTCTACTCTACTTGACTTGGGAGAGTTTGGTCCACTAGGCTGTTGCTTGGAGCGGCCCGCAGGCCCACATACCCACCACAGCCCGGTTGATCCGGTACTCCTTGGAGGAAACAATCTAGTTTCCTCTTGAAGATGTCCACGGTTGTTCCGGCAATATTTCTTATGGTCGCTGGGAGGGTGTTGAACAACCGTGGACCTCTGTTTATACAGTGTTCTCTGATTGTGCCTATGGCACCTCTGCTTTTCCTAGCTCATATCTTTCAGCTCGAGTACTAGTCTGGTGGCATACCTTTGAACCTTCTCCAAATTTAGTGTTGCTTGACTAAATACGAACTCCATGCTGGAGCAGCATACTCCAGGATTGGTGTGACATATGTGGTATACAAGGTTCTTAATGATTCCTTACACAAAATTCTAAAGGCCGTTCTTATGTTGGCCAATCTGGCATATGCCGCTGATGATATCCTCTTGATGTGGGCTTCAGGGGAAACAGGTCTGGCGTGATATCAAACCCCAAGTCTTTTTCTTTCTCTGACTCCTGAAGAATTTCCTCTCCCAGATGATACCTTGTATCTGGCCTCCTGCTCCTTACACCTATCTTCATTACATTACATTTGGTTGGGTTAAACTCTAACAACCATTTGTTCGACCATTCCTTTAGCTTGTCTAGGTCTTCTTGAAGCCTCAAACAGTCCTCTTCTGTTTTAATCCTCAAACAGCCTCTTCGGTTTGTGTGTGTGTGTGCGTGTGTGTGTGTGTATTCACCTATTTTTACTAACCTATTTGTGCCTGCAGGATCGAGCTCTAGCTCTTAGACCCCGATTTTCTAGCCGTTGGTTGTCTAATACAATGACTTCTGGCCTATTTCCCTATCATACCTGCTTTTAAAGTTATGAATGGAGTTAACCTCTACAACCTGCTCCTTTAGGTCATTCCATTTACTCACTTCCCTTACGATAAACGAAAACTTTCTAACATCACTATGACACATCTGAGTCTCAAGCTTCCATCTGTGCCCCCTTGATATGTTGATGTTCATTGTAACAATTCCTCAGTTTCCACCATGTCAATCCCTCTTAGTATTTTATACGTCTGTATCAAGTCCACCCTCTCCCTCCTCCTTTCTAACGTCGTCAGGTTGAGCTCCTTCAGTCTCTCTTCGTACCTCATCCCTCGCAGCTCTGGGACCAGTCTCCTTGCAAACATCTGGACTTTTTCGAGCTTCCTTGTGTATTTTTTTTAGATGGGGCTCCACGATGGCATTCTCTAAGACGAGCCCCTGGAGATAGGTTCGGTGTTGTGTCCGCTCCCAGATCCTTTTCTCTAGTCGTTATAGGGAGGTTGTTTCCCTTCATCATGTATCGACCTTTCGGTCTCCTGGCTTCCGATCCCATTTCCATTACCTTACACTTGCTGGTGTTGAACTTCAGCACCCATTTCTCTGACCATTTCTGTACCTTGTTCAAGTCATCCTGGAGAATCTTACAATCCTCATCTGTCCCAAACCTCCTCATTAGTTTTGCATAATCTGCAAACCTTGACATATATGACTCAATAGCTGCAGTCAAGTCGTTTACATAAATGAGAAATAGTATGGGACCCAGCACTGATCCTTGAGGCACCCCGCTTGTTACTCTACGCCAGAGTCCTCGACCCTCACTGTCACCTGTCCGTTAGGTAATTCCTTACCCATGTTAATACATTGCCGCCTACTCCCGCCTGCCTCTCAAGTTTGTATAGTACCCTCCTATGTGGTACTATATGAAAGGCTTTTTGGCAGTCTAGAAATATGCAGTCTGCCCATCCTTCTCCGTCTTGCCTTACTTTCGTTACCTTATCATAAAACTTCAGGAAGTTCGTCAGGCATGATTTCCGTGCTCTAAAGCCATGATTGTTGTTTACTTACAAACTTAATTCTTTCTGGGCGTGCAACTAGTCTTAATCTTATAACTCTTTCGAGTACTTTGCAAGAGATGCTTATGAGTGACACTGGTCTGTAGTTAAGTTGTTCTTCTCTATCTCCTTTCTTGTAGAGTGGCACCACATTTGCCTTCTTCCAGCAGTTGGGCAAGTCCCCTTGTGTAAGTGACTCATTAAAGATTAGTGCTGGAGGTGTGCTGAGGGTCTGTGCTGCTGCTTTTAACATCCCTGGTGATACTCTATCTGGTCCAGTAACTTTAGCTACAGCCAGTGATGCTGGCTGTAGTCTTACTTCCTCTGCTGTTACCTCAATATTTAGATGTTTCTCATCAGGGGCTGCTTCCTCATCTAGCTCTGGAGACTGTTCAGGGTCAGTAGTGAACACTCCATGGAAGCTGGCATTGAGCTCCTTACAAATTTCTTCATAATTTCCTGTATACTTGGCTCCCCTCTTTCGTAACCTGGTCATTTACCGTCATTTTCCTTCTTATATGACTATGTAGGAGTTGCGGTTGGCTCTTTGCTTTGGCGGCAATATCGTTTCTATAGTTTCTTCCTGCCAATCTTCTTATGTTAATGTAGTCATTCCTGGCTCTGTTGCATCCTGCCCGGTTTATCACTGTCCTTTGCTTCCTGTATTTCCCCCACTCCTTCCTACTTTTGCCTCCTGTCACTCTCTATTGTGGTCTATTGCCCCACGGGTTATATGCCATCCTACTTTTTTTCCCCTTAATGGTGGAATGAATCTTTCTCCTGCCTCCCATTGCACACTTCCCTAATACGCTTGTTTCCATGCAGTCTCCTTTTTTATAGTCCTGTGTGTGCCCGTTCAAACACTTCACAAACCCACAAAAACGAACTTACAGGGAATTATGTTCATTTTGAGACTGTCAAATTTATTTTGAATAACCCAATAGATTGAACGACGGACATTCGATTTAGATTTGCATAAATACCACGTGTTGAGTGCTAATTGATTATTCCGAGTGTGTGGAGCCGCAAGCGCCAGCCGACAGAGCATATTATATTAACCTCGTTTAACCGTTCTCTCGTTGTAATGGTTTAATTTGATTTAGTAGTTTGAATTGTTTTGTTGGAAAATTAATAATGTCAGTAGTGTTGTGGACCTGGACCAGGCTGGTGAGTCTGGACCAGGCTGGTGAGTCTGGACCAGGCTGGTGAGTCTGGACCAGGCTGGTGAGCCTGGACCAGGCTGGTGAGTCTGGACCAGGGTGGTGAGTCTGGACCAGGGTGGTGAGTCTGGACCAGGGTGGTGAGTCTGGACCAGGCTGGTGAGTCTGGACCAGGCTGGTGAGTCTGGACCAGGCTGGTGAGTCTGGACCAGGCTGGTGAGTCTGGACCAGGCTGGTGAGTCTGGACCAGGCTGGTGAGTCTGGACCAGGCTGGTGAGTCTGGACCAGGCTGGTGAGTCTGGACCAGGCTGGTGAGTCTGGACCAGGCTGGTGAGCCTGGACCAGGCTGGTGAGCCTGGACCAGGCTGGTGAGTCTGGACCAGGTTGGTGACGCTCCTGTCCCACACCCTTGTGACCTCCTGTCCCATCCTGGTGACCTAGGCTCAATTATATTGCTTTCTGACACTTTAAATCTTAACTGGTTATCTATTAACTTCCTTAATAGATAAGGAACTTGTGTTTCAAGGACATTTCTGCCAAGAAGCTTTTATTGCAAGGACCTCTCTTTTAAACGACTTTCCTTGCAAGAACTTTCCCTTCTAAGACTCTCCATGCACCTGACTCTCCACCTCATGTCTTCGCCTTATACTTATTGTGGAAGAAGAAGAATCAATAAAGTTTTTTGGGGGTTTTCAATGACAGAATATATTGTCCTCGAGTCAGTTCTGCAAAATAAAATATATATTCCTTCAGCTTAACGTTTTTATTTTCCTTAAGTCTTTCGACAGCTTGATGTATATATTCAACCCGTTCTCGCAAATTTAACAAGTCGATATTGACTTATTAGTTGCGTGCATAGGTGACATACTAAACATAATAGTTTCCCTTGAAAAGCTTCATAGAAAACACCGACCTTACCTAACCTACTTAGTACTTTAAAATAAGCATCTTATAGCTTCGTAATTACAATTGTTACTTAACCTATTATAGGTATAGGTTAGGTCATAATTGTAATTACGAAGCAGTAAGATGCTTATCTTAACATACTAAGAAGGTTAGGTAAGGTCGGTGTTTTCTATGAAGATTTTCAAGGGAAACTATTATGTTAAGTATGTCACCTATGCACATATTTAATAAGTCAATATTGACTTATTAAATTTGCGAGAACGGGTTGATATATTGACCCCCAAGCTTAGCCAAGCTTAACCATGCTTAGTAAAGCTTAGCCAAGCTTAGGCAAGCTTATCCAAGCTTAGCCATTCTTAGGCAAGCTTATCCAAGCTTAGCCAAGCTTGTTGGTGGGTGTGACCCAGGTCTCCTTTATCACGTCCCCTACGGCCCAAAACCACTGTACTAAATATCACAGACTCGTAAAATTGACGTGATGCCCCGTTTTCTATACATGAGGTTCTCGGTTAAAGGGGTTAGGTTCGGGCAAATATTGTACATCAGTTTAGTGACGTTGGGAACACTCTGGAGAACGACTCGACCGGTGTGTTTGTGTATCCAGAACCGGTGTTGGGCTCGTTTTAGTGTCCCAAAACAATGAATGTATTATAAAACAAGATTTATCGTGTAATAGATTCAGTATTCTGCGTATTCTGGCCTTCCGCGTATTCAAGCTTCATCAACATAAAGTATTCTTCGTCAGACTCATCCATCAGGCAATGTCATTATTCTGCGAGTGTGTACTCACCTAGTTGTACTCACCTAGTTGTACTTGCGGGGGTTGAGCTCTGGCTCTTTGGTCTCGCCCCTCAACTGTCAATCAACTGGTGTACAGATTCCTGAGCCTACTGGGCTCTATCATATCTACATTTGAAACTGTGTATGGAGTCAGCCTCCACCACATCACTACCTAATGCATTCCATTTGTTAACTACTCTGACACTAAAAAAGTTCTTTTTAACGTCCTTATGGCTTATTTGGGTACTCGGTTTCCACCTGTGTCCCCTTGTTCGCGTACCACCAGTGTTGAATAGTTTAACCTTATCAACCGTGTCAATTTCTCTGAGAATTTTGTTGGTGGTGATCATGTCTCCCCTTACTCTTCTGTCTTCCAGTGTCGTGATGTGCATTTCCCACAGCCTTTCCTCATAACTCATGCCTCTTAGTTCTGGGACTAGCCTAGTGGCATACCTCTGAACTTTTTTCCGCTTGGTCTTGTGCTTGACAAGGTACGGGCTCCATGCTGGGGCCGCATACTCCAGAATTGGTCTTAAATATGTGGTATACAAGGTTCTGAATGATTCCTTACACAGGTTCCTGAAGGCTGTTCTGATGTTAGCCAGCCTCGCGTATGCCGCAAATGTTGTTCTCTTTATGTGGGCTTCGGGAGAGAGGTTTGGTGTGATGTCAACTCCTAGATCTTTCTCTCTGTTCGTTTCATGAAGGACTGTGCAGTGTGGGTGTGCGCGCGTGCTGTGGGGGGGGGGGGGGTTCACAATACAATATATTAATATACGGTGATGTGAACTAATGCTCGCTGATAACAATGTTCTTGGCAAGAACAGAGGTATCGAAAGTGTCTGTCTGTGTGTGTTACTGACAGCGACTACAGCAAACAACCACACCTACCATATAATACCACTACAATAGACTACCAATACTACATACTCCCATACACACATGCTGCTACCATATTCTACCACACTCTACCACCATATGCTTCCAATAATCATTACTACTGCTACAGTCTGCCAATAAATCCATTTTTTCTTATTTTACTCTGAAGGATGAGTGTATTGACCAACGTCACTCATCTTGTGAGTGAACACACCGCCATAGTGACAGTATTGACCAACGTCACTCATCTTGTGAGTGAACACACCGCCATAGTGACAGTATTGACCAACGTCACTCATCTTGTGAGTGAACACACCGCCATAGTGACAGTATTGACCAACGTCACTCATCTTGTGAGTGAACATTCCGCCATAGCAGAATGTTCAACAATATGAAGAAAATCCGCTGGGTTGTTCATCCTTTCACTTGAACGGAAACAGCTGGGATTTACCTATCTTAAGTGAACAGATTATCAAACAACAAGATGAATATCTACGAACCCCTAAACTCATGTTATGACGTAAATACATGGAAAGATGTAACTGTAACAGGCTGGGATACGTGTATCTGGTTGATGGGGTTCTGGGAGTTCTTCTACTCCCCAAGCCCGGCCCGAGGCCAGGCTTGACTTGTGAGAGTTCGGTCCACTAGACTGTTGCTTGGAGCGGCCCGCAGGCCCACATACCCACCACAGCCCGGTTGGTCCGGCACTTCTTGAAGAAAATTATCTAGTTTTTTCTTGGAAGATGTCCACGGTTGTTCCGGCAATATTTCTTATACTCGCTGGGAGGTTATTGAACAACCGTGGACCTCTGATGTTCATCCAGTGTTCATACAGTGTTCATTCGTGCTGTAATATGTTCTGTGTGTGTTATTAACCACTGCTCCACATTATTCGTGTATTCTCAAAGCGCTGTGATATATTTTTACCTCATCACATAACATTTGTGTTTTGTAATTCATAATTTGCTTTTAATCCTCAATTTATGGAATGTTTTTTAGAACTTTTCCAGGATCCAGTATGGGAATGTGATGGATTTTAGTGCACATTTTCTAATAATATTTATTTTTTTTTCTTTATGAAGCTCGGTACTATTTTACAATATTCCTATTTGGAATTCCATTTTTTCCGTGCGTGGTTCAGAATAACAAATATATATTGGACTGTCCGTAACATTTTTAATTTTTTAAGTAAAATAATACAATTTTGTGTCAAATTTTTTGCCCCGATAATGCAATAAATTATGTATTGCATTTGATACAAATTCAAAGACACAAACTATACATCATACATCGGCTCAACAAATTATACAAATGATATACAAACTGACTCTCCTGGTAAGTATTGCTGTTCTATTAATGAATTATAGAGTAGCGCGGTCCTGTCATCTTCCTGGGTACTGTATTCTCTCTTGTATTGGCAAGAAATTGGTATTATTGAAAACAAAAGGCGAGTGTCTTTTATATTATTAAACTCGAAATAGTAGTGACAAAAGCTGATTTTCGATCCTGCCTCGAGCTGGGTACCCCACTTGGTACTGTGTGGTACGTGTACTGTGTGGTACTAGTACTGTGTGGTACTAGTACTGTGTACTGTGTGGTACTAGTACTGTGTTACTGTGTGGTACTAGTACTGTGTGTACTGTGTGGTACTAGTACTGTGTGTACTGTGTGGTACTAGTACTGTGTGTACTGTGTGGTACTAGTACTGTGTGGTACTAGTACTGTGTGTACTGTGTGGTACTAGTACTGTGTATACTGTGTGGTACTA